GCATGGGCGGGATGCTAGCACGAGCGTGGGAGGTTGTCGCGGGCGGAGCAGGCTACTGAATGATATTTTCTTGTTCTCTAGTGTATATATATATACATGAAAAGCTCGACCCCCGGACTTAACGGCACCCCTTCGCGCGCTGCGTATTCATACTTGTTATGCGTACTCGTCCATCCCGAATATGAATTCATACTATCTCCGCTAAACTGGCTTCCCCCCTTATCCCACTGCCAAGAAATACTACGCGCGCGCGCACTCGCTCTGTAGAAAAGCAAAACACTGTTCAAGAATCTTTGGGATAATGAAGCGAAATGCACTCGCGCGTCGTCGCGCGCGCATGCCGAAACCCTTTCAACAGCATTCGGCGTCGCACGCATTTCAAAAACCGAACGCCCCGAAAACATGTTGAAAGCACACATGCCCTCGCAATGCGAAATTTTCTATATACATATACACACATATAACCGGGTGCCGATGATAAAAAAGGACCCCCCTTCACACGCTAGAATTGACTATCCACGGCCAAGAAAAGGTTTGGTCAGGGGCGCGGAGCGCGGAGGCCGAACTCTGTCATCACTGTGAAAAGTTCACCACCGAGGTTCACTTCCTTCTTATGTTGAGATAGCAACATCAAACGAAGCGAAGACGTTGTCGAGGATGTATCAAGCGAAGCCAACAGCGTTCTCTTTATCTATCGCTCTCTCTTCTGTCTGCTCTTCTCTTTCTCTTTCCGTTTCCCCCCCTGCCCCCTGACTATATATCTATATGTGTATATATATATGTATGTATGTATGTATGTATGTATGTATGTATGTATGTATGTATGTATGTATGTGTATATATATCGCTGCGGTTTACTGTCAACGAAAAACGAGGCACATGAGCTACCCTACACGAGCAGATGAAAATCTGAAGTTCCATTGTTTGCTTACACATTAAATTTACTAGGTTTGGAACTTTGGCGTTTCTCCTCCTCCTCCTCCTCCTCCTCCTCCTCCACCTCTCTCCTTCTGTCTGTCTATATTTCTCTACTTCTGGGATCTCGACCCTCGATCCTCGGACTTCGATTCTCGATCCTCGATCCTGGGCTTTCGGTCCTCTTAACATCATCTCTTTCTCCTCCCACATGCTGGCCTACGGTAGGCAACATGTATAATCCCCCGCGACCCCGAACTCTATTATCCTTGTGGGTTAATCTCGGCCGCACACGGCTACATACATACATGCATGCATGCATACATACATACATACATAAAAGGACGCCCGCGCGTTTGCGAATTATTGAGTCAACTGTATTTTTCAGCGTTTCCATAACATCCCGCAGGTCGAAATTATTAGAACGTCCCTGCGCGCGTGCTGTCGCAATATCCCCTTGCAAAGAATCGGGACGGAGTGCGCGCGGGCGCGTCATCGCCCGTGCGCCTGCAAAAATCCTTCAAAAATCTGACGTGCCGCAAAGACTTCAAACTAGAGTGCCCCGACCACACATAGAACAAACGCATGGCTCTACAACAATCTATATGTTTTTTATAAACAAAAAGCCTGCGCTCGCTCTCTCTCCTGCGAATTCTTAAGACAACCATGTTTCCTCATATGCGTTCCTTCAATTATGCCAAACGGGCCCTTCGCGTCGCATGCCCAAATCATTCGAGCGCCCTTGCGCGCGTGCTGGGGGGGGGGGGGGGCGATCCGTGCCACATGATAATATACGGGTCACCCTCACGCGTCGGCCCCGCGCGCAGGTCGAACTCCCTCTCAAACCTTCGTTTCCAACGCCGCGACGCCGTCACCGTCGTCGACGTGATCAGCATCGGCGCCGGCACTGGCCTTGCCGCCGTCGTTGTCGCGATCGTCGCCAGCATCGTTACCATCATCATCGTGTCTACCGTTGTCGACGTTGCCATGATCCCGTGCCCGCCCAAGTCGCCGATTCGTACTGCAGTGCCCGCTGGGAAGTGCCCGTGGGTGGGTGGGGTGGCTGCCCGAGCATTGGGGTTCACAACTCACAGGGGACATGCATCAATTGCGCCACATCCGTTGCACCACGTAGATTGCAATACATAAGTTGCACAACTTTGGTTGCGCACCGCATCGCTTCTCTCGTATAGAAAAAACCATCCCCAATTACCAACTGTGTCGCCCACCTGGGGCACCGCGAATTACATGTGCGTCTGTCCCGTCGACCTTTTGAAATAAGACCTCGTACCATCCCAGCCATGCCCCGCATCGATCCCCCATTCATCCCTGTCAAAGAAACCTATGCGCGCGAACTCGCGTACCAAACTTCACCCAGTTTTCCGGAAACAAAAAAAAACGCTTGCATCAAACACTGGACAGGGTCCACGCGCGAGCGAAACCGCGCGCGTATGCCGACATCTTTCAACGACATTTGGCGTCGCAAGGGTTTCAAGATCGAGGTGTCCGAAAACGAAACAATGCCATACGGTTGCGCAACCTGGCTTCCAAACAAACAAACGAAAAAAAAAAAAAAAAAAAAAAAAAAAAAAAAAAAAAAAAAAAAAAAAAAAAAAAAAAAAAAAAAAAAAAAAAACGCTCGCTCTGGCGAGTTATGCCCCGAATACCACATGGTCGCATCATGTTCATCAAAGCAGACCGCGCGGGCCTTTTCGCGCGCAGGTCAAAATCATTCGAAAGCCATTGCGCGTTTGCTGGCGGCTGGGGAAGGGGGCGCGACCCCGGTCAAATGAAACCACGCGGGTCACTCGCGTGCGTCGGCTGCGCACGCGCGTCGGGAACCTTCCGCGACATTCAGCACCGACGCGTGGACACCACGATCGCTATCGGCGTGGCCAGCCTCGGCGCTAACATTGGCCTGACCGTTGTCGTTGCCATCGGCAGCATCATCGCTAAGATCATCATCGTGCCTGCCTCTGTCGACGTCGCCATGGTGCCGCGCCCGCTTGAGGCACCGATTCGCGCCGAAGTGCCCGCGCGCCACCGCGGCCCTGTGAGACACGCCGGGAAGTCACCAGTGGTCAGCGCCACCGCGGCCGCGTCGGTCGCGCCAAACCAGCTGGCCACCCTGCGCACAAGCATGCGCGCGCCAGCGCGGCCGCAGCAATGCGCCAGCCAGCGCCTAGCAGTTACCGCAATCGACGCCGCATGGCTTTCGCAAACCAGGTCGCGGGTGGGTGGGTGGGATAATTGCTCGAACAGTGGAGCTGACAACTTCAAATTCCACAGAGTGAATTTGCCACGCTGAGAGCGTAACGTTGACTGCACAACGTAGATTGCACCAGGAAGACTGCACACCATATATTGTACATAAAAGAATGCACAGCATATGCTGCACAGCGTAGACTGCACCGCATCTGTTGCCCCCCATAAAATTGTACAATATAGATTGTACCACATTGCCTTCACAACCTAGACTGTCTGCGCAATATTTGTTTATGGAAACACACTGTTTAGTGCGCTCGCTGGCTACCACACATATGTGTATACATATATATATATATATATATATATGAATCCACATAGACACACTGCTTCGTAAGTATGTACATATATATATATGTATGTATACACACATCTATTTGATGTACATGCATGCATCGCGCAATGAGGTATGCAGCAGCGAGGCGGAGAGATGCGCCACCGTGCCCTTGAGGCACGCGCTGGAGTGCCCTCAGGTCCTTGGCCTCGTTCCTGAAGCCTGAGTCCTCCACCCGAGGGATTCCTGCAGGGGCCCGGGCTCCAAACTCACAACTCTTCTTGGGCGTGCCGCGCCGCCCCCCATGGGGCGCACAGCGTGGCCCTGGGGCCCCGGTCCGGAGGAGCGCTTCCGCAGGACCGCTCGGAGCCCAGAGGGCGCCAGGACGGGCCAAGCAGGCGCTCAAAGGCGACCAGGACTGTCCAAGAGGGGCCCGCTTCGCCGCACGATCGGTCCAAGGCGCCCAAGATGGCCCCAAGACGGCTCAAGATGCCCCCACCTCGTCCCAATAAGCTTCCACGAGGCCTCCCAAGAGGCTCTCAGGAGGCACGGCCTGTCGGCCTCCCTCAGGTTTACTTGCAAGGTGTTGGCGTTATCGCCTCTTCGGCTTCCCGACGCTCCAACACGGCAGGCCCCCAAGATCGCCCAATCAGGCCCCCAACAAGGCTCCAAGACCGCCCCAGAAGGCCCGAAGAAGGGCCGAGAGGCCTCCAAGACGGCTAAGAGGCCCCCAAGACGGCTCCAAGAGGAGGCCAAGACGGGGGACCCGAACAGACATGTCGTGCCCTCGGCCCCGAGAGGCCCCCAGGAGGCCCCAAGAGGCCTCCCCAAAACCCTCAATAAGCAGAGAGTCCCCACGATGCCCCAAGAAACCCTCAGGAGGCCCAAAAGAAGCCCCAGGAGGCCCCAAAACCACCCTCCAAAGGCCTCCAACCTGCATGCAGGAGGCTCCCGAGAAGCCTCCCACGAACATCCACTAGGCCTCTCACCCACGACTCAAGCACGGTGGCGGGGTAGGCCGAAGGCCATTCGATGGTGAAAGAGAGACAGAGAAACAAGGCAGATGTGGAGTGCATTTGACGGTTCCAGAACATCCACCGATTGGTGCTGTACCTAGTGTGCTGTGCATGCTGCCTGTACTTCTTCGAGGGCCGCCTCGGACTGTTAGAGGCCTCCTAGATGGGGCCCGAGTTGATGGGGTCGGAGGATCTCGCCGCATCGCCGATACATCGGCGATGCATCGCCGACGCAACGGCGATGCATCGGCCATGCACTGGCGACGTCGGCGACACATCCGCGACGTCGGCGTGGAAAAAATTGGGCTCCACACCGAGCCGCATCGCCGATGCATCGCCGATGCCTCGGCGATGCGGCGCGATCCTCCGACCCCATCTACTCCGACCCCATCTAGGAGGCCTGGAACCGTCGGATTCTCTGAATCGGGTCGGATCGAGCTGACAGGAAACGATACCGACTTGGACTGATCGGGTCGCAGTGCGCCCTGCGCGGAGGGCCGCCGCGAGCAGCGCGCCGCGGCGGGCGGTGCCTCGGCTGGGCGCTGCGCCGCCAGAGTTCGCCGCGGCCGGTGCACGCAGGGCGCTGCCTGTGCCGCCGCCGCGTCCGCTCGGTTATACAAGGCCGAGAAGGCACCCCGTGGCGAAGAAAAGGAAAGGAAAATAGCAGTGGAGGGGACAACAACACGAGGGTAGGAATAGGAGGAGGAGGTGGAGGAGCAGGAGGAGGAGGAGGAGGAAGAGGAGGAGGAGGAGGAGCAGAAGCAGCAGGAGGAGGAGCAGCAGAAGAGGAAGAGCAGGACGAGGAGCAGGAGGAGGAGGAGGAGGAGCAGCAGGAGCAGCAGGAGGAGGAGCAGCAGCAGGAGGAGGAGCAGGAGGAGGAGGAGGGGGAGCTGCAGCAGCAGCAGCAAGCAGCGCAAAACGGGCGCGGCCGTCGGCCAGCTGCCGCGCCCAGGCCCTCGTCCACCCCCCCGCCCGCTGCCGTTCGATGATCCTCATCGAGAAACGAACTCTTCACACCGACGCCTTTTTCCGGCCCTGCGCTGACACTTGCACAGGAAAGTGGTCCCTGGTGTCGACGGGATCCTGGTGTATACATTCTGCGTTTCTTCCGCGGGAAAACGAGGAAACGATATGCACCACAACATCCCGACGTCGCTCCCGACCCTCCAAAAGTCCTGGGATTGCAAAGCAGCCCGCTGGTGGCAATGTGCATGTTCCAGTTTCCGACCTCTGAGCGCGCGCCAGCACCAGCGCGTGCTTGTCCACTGAAGCCCCTCAAGACGACGCAGCCAGCGCGATGAGGACGCACTGGGGCAACGCGCACACTCGGCGAACACAAGTCCTGAAGATCACCGATCATTGTCCACCCTTCGTCTCCTCGTCCTCCCCCCGCCCTCCCCTCGCAATCGACTTCTTTTGCGTCATCACCCTCGTCCTCCCCCCGCTGCTGGGATACACCTACCGCTACTCCCGCCCGCTTCCGTTCGATGATCCTCAGAGCGCGCGCCAGCAACGACGCGTGCTTGTAAAAGCCTCCTGGATGGGGTCCGACCAAATGGGTCGGAGGATCTGGCCGCATCGGCGACGTGGGCGATGCATCGGCGTCGTCTATGCGTGGAGAAATTGGGCCCCACATCGAGCCGCATCGACGATGCATCGGCGATGCCGCGCGATCCTCCGACCCCATCTACTTCGACCCCATCTAGGAGGCCGAGATCCGTTCGACGATTCTCAAAGCGTGCCAGCACCAGCGCGTCCTCGTCCATCGAAGCCCCTCAAGAAGACGCAGCCGATGCGATGAGGACGCACTGGGGCAACGCGCACACTCGGCGAACACAAGCCTGAAAATCATCGATCCTTGTGCTCCCTTCGTCCCCTTGTCCTCCCCCCCACCCTCCCCTCGCACTCGACTTCTTTTGCGTCCTCACCCTCATCCGAACCCCCTTCTGCGGGGATGCAACTACCGCTGCTCCCCTGGACGTTCTCGGGGTGCGTTCTGACCAGGACCCCGGGGCAAACCCAACCGTGTCGGGGGGCCCCCCAGGAGGCCCCAAAAGGCGGATCCGAGGAAAGGGCAGAGGCATCGGCATCCTTGCCCTCCTCAGACCCCGTCGTCTTCTTCCTGCACTCATCCTTGCCTTTCATGCTGTGATGCATTCTCGCGGCGAGGAGGCACGCGGTCGACGCCGGCAGCGCTCGGATAGGGGCGAAGAGGCGGGGTCACACGAGGGCTCTGGGCCCCTTCAGGGGCACCGAGATCGAAGAATCCCCCCGAATTGCCGACCACATCATCCCCCAGCCTACAGTGGAAACCGACCTCACTGTCTGGACCCTGCGATGGCAGGCGTCATAGGGTTTCGCGAACTCCCCTCACACCCCAAGAGGCGAGCCCCAACGTGTGAAACAACGCACACGGGTGCAGCGCAGTTCTGTTTCAGAGCGTTGATCTGTCTCTCGAGGCCTGCCAGTCCAAAATGCCAACGAGTGCAGACCTCGACGCATTGAGGGCGGCTCCATTTCCAGAATGAGGCTCTCGCTCGATACCGTCCTGCGGCCTTACAGTACTACGTGTGTGTGTGTGTGTGTGTGTGTGTGTGCTGTCGACACCTGCAACTGTGCAGGACTGCTCTCTCTCTCTCTCTGTACCAAGCCCTTGCCAGAACGGCAAGCCCATGGGACGCACGTCTTTCGCGCTGGCTCTCCCCGCAACGAGAAGGGGGTGCATGCAAGGACTTCGCGGGAGGGTGTACTGCAAAAGCTTGGTAATCCTGGACTGATGATGTGTATCATCAGAGTCTTGCTGATACAATATCGGGGAGATGTATGACTCGGGTACGAGGGACTCGGGTTTGCCTGACGGGGCCATCATGAAACTGACGAGACCCAATCTGAAATTAGGCACGAGCTCCCGCTGCAAACACCCCACGAAAACTGCACCGTCAAAATCCAGAACAAGGTCGGCAAACCCGAGTTCCGGACTACTCGAGCCTTACGTTTCCCCAGCCATCCATTGCGCACTCATCACTCCACGCCGTCTGCACAGCCCCGACACCTCCCCAGCCGTTGCCACCCCCCGTGGGCGAAGCAGCGCGTGACGCCCAGGGCGGCCTTCCTCGCCGTCGGCGGCGAACGGGTTCGAGTCGCCGCCCCCCCGGGCGACGTCGGCGGCGAACGGGTTGTCGGCGGAGAACGGATTCGCAGCGCCGCCTCCTCGGGAGCTGCATAGCAACCCGTCGGTGCAGTTGAGCAGGGACCGACCGTCCCGGCATTCCTATAGTCCTACCACGAAATGTTCTTAGAACCCAAAAGTGATCTGAGAACAAAAACAAGGTTCTTGGAACATTAGCCCTAAACCAAGACAGTCTCCGCCAGAAATGTTCTAAGAACATTTCGTGGGAACCACAAAAGGTTCTTAGAACGTTTTTTGGTGGGGCCATAGGCGAGCCAGGACGCTTCGCCACTGCTTTCGGGGATCTTCTGACCCAGATCAATCCAGACCCGGGTCAGCAGGAAACCAAAAACTGCAATGCAGGAACAACAAAAACAACTGCAACACAGGTCTTCGCAAACCCGGGCCAGCCAATAGGGCCCCGCGGCCACGAGCGGCTCGCCAACCCGGGTCAGCCAGAGGGGGCCTTCGCAGCATCCTGCAGGATCTGGTGCCCTGGCTGACCCCCGGTTGCATCGACCCCCGTCTCAAGGCTCCCGATGCCTGATGCAGGGAGCGGGCCCCGGGCGAGACGTGCGCGCCCGAGGGGGGCCGGCCAGGCAGAAACCTGCCGAGCACAAGCACGCCGCGGCCGAGCGCCCCTGCCAGCTGCGCAGAGATGCACGGCGGGGCCCGGCATGCAAAGAGAGAGGCCAGCGCAATATTAGGTCGGGCGTGCCCCCCTACAGAGGGATTTTCGGCGAACGCTGCAAAAGACTCGAAAGGTATTCCCAAATGGTAAAAGAGGATACTCAAAAAAATAGGCCCCAAACTATTCATTTTTGACTATTTTTGAATATTCCCCTGTAGAGTGACAGGCCCAACTGAAACGTAATATGATGTTGCATCCTCGGGGGACCTGGTCTGTCCCGCCGCGGCCCTATCCGCGTCGAATCCGTGTCGAATGCGTGTCGAGATCGTCGGATCCGTGTCGAGTCCGCGTCGAATCCGCGTCGGATACACGCCAGATCCACCTTGAGTCCGCATCGGGCCCGCGTCGGGCACAAGAAAAGACACCAATTTTGGGGACAGGCGAGGTCCCCCGAAGATGCAACGTACGCGATAGGCATGATTGCGTCATGAGCCGCCTGCGACCAACTGCCTGGCACACCTCTACCAACCCGACGCCCTAATCATCTCATCATCTCCCGACCCACACACTGGCCATCGCTCGGACGTCCATTCCCTGTGCGTGTTTTTTTTCGCCAAGTGATCATGGATGCTCCTCGATGGCCCTCGCCGAAGGAAAAATGCACACGTCCGAGCGATGCCAAGACACAACCGTATGTCTCTCCAAAACCATTCTGCATACTGCGGGTTTCACCCCCGCAGCCTCGCGCACACCCTCCCTCCCTCTCCGAATCCCATGCACACAAGAAGCCTCCTCACCCGCACGGGGAAGGGAGGGACGATGATGATGATGCTGATGATGATGATGATGATGTTGATGATGATGATGATGATGATGATGATGATGATGATGAGGAGGAGGAGGAGGGAGAAACATCTGGCAGGAGGGCGGGAAGGAGGAGCAAGGACTCCCACACGCCCTCCTCCTCTCCCGTTCGATGCCCACTCGCGATCGGTGCCTCCGCCGTTCCCCCACTGCTGCCGCCGCACTGGGCGCGAACAATCAAGGTGTCCGTCCACGTCCACGTCCACGTCCACGTCCGCGTGCTCATCGCCACTGTTGACGGTGCTGTCGCTGCCCATCCTCGTCGCCTGCCGTCGACACTGCCGTCACAACTCTTACAGCGGGGAGCTGCTGCTTGATCATAGCGTGTCGCGGCGGCGGCCCCCGGCGACACGCTACGCCTTGCGAGCGCATAGCGCGTCGCTCCGCTCCGAAGGGCGGGAAGCTGGGAACAGCTCGGGACATGGACGCTCGGAACGTGCATGGCGCGCCGCGCCCGACGAGTGGTGGGCCAGAACGACCTGTGCGGAACGACCCTCCAAGCCAAACTTCCCGGCCGTGCTCCCGCCGCCGCGTCGGGGGTCCTCCGGCGCCCGAGGCCGAACCCGCCGAAGGAGCTCCGGGAGCACTTGAGGCCGAGGGCGCTGAGGGCGGACCTGGCTGGCGCTGGCCGGCTGGGCGGGCCGGCGCCAGGCTGCTCCGCGCGGGCCCAGCCCAACAGGGACTGCCCCCCCCCCTGCGTGCTGACCGGCGCCGAGCCCACGGAGGGATGCCGGGGGGGCGGGCCTGCCGAGAGGGCACGGAAGGCCTCGGGCCTTCTGAGAAACTGTCTGGGCCTTCTCCGAGGACCAGGGCCGAGCTGAGGTGAACGAGATCCCCCCCGTCCTGCGGGCGCCGTAGGCAAACAACCATAGTGGGTGCTCTTGCCCGGCCTAAGGCTCCAGGGCCCTCCCTGACCCCGACTGGGCCCGAGGAGTGCGCAAGCATGCAGCCGCGGGAACCAAAGCAGGGCAATTCGCTCATCGGCCGGCATGGCGGGCGATCCATCAACCAGGAGGAGAGCGATGGCGTGAGAGTTGGCTCAGGATACGTTTCTCAACATTTCCAGGGAGTATCTAGCGGCCCTTGTTTCTGCAGCCCGTGTGGAACATGCGGAGAGCTTGGGAAACCTGGAGACCTGGGAACGCATCTTTCTCATGACCCCTTAACTCTTGGGGGAAGCTGGTCCCGAGAACTTCATCCGGAATCGTTTTCTGACAATCCTGGGGCCGGTGGAGGGCCCCGAGAACCCGAAACCGGCAAAACAAATTAGGACCCCTCTCCCTCAGGAACCGCTTCCCCCATGGCGACTCCTGCTCCTCGGATCAACCTCCGATTTCCAGTCGTACCTCCCCTCCGCGCACCCCTTGTCGCGTGTTCGTCTGCTGGCGATGGGAGGCGCGCACCTCGGAGCAAGTCGCGCTCCCGAAACAGACCCAGGAGGAGGCTCCTCCTCCTCCTCCTCCTCCTCCTCCTCACCTCCCCTCCTCTCCTCCTCCTCCTCCGCCTCCTCCTCCACCACTCCTCTCCTCCTCTCTCTCTTCTCTTCTTCTTTCTCCTCCTCCTCCTCCTCCTCCTCCTCCTCCGCGCCTCCTCTTCCTCCTCCCCCTCCTCCTCCTCCTCCTCATCCTCCTCCTCCTCCTCCTCCTCCTCCTCCTTCCTCCTCCTCCTCCTCCCTCCTCCTCCTCCTCCTCCCCCCTCTGTCTCCTCCCTCTCACTCTCCCTCTGCTCCTCCACCTCCTCCTCGCTTTCCCTCTCCCCTCTCTTTTCCTCCTCCTTCTTCCGCCTCCTCCTCTCTCCCCTCCTCCTCCTCCTCCTCCTCCTCCTCTTGCCTCTCCTCCGTCGCCTCCTCCTCCTCCTCCTCCTCCTCCTCCTCCTCCTCCTCCTCCTCCTCCTCCTTCCGCCTCCTCTCCTCCTTCGCCTCCTCCTCCTCCTCCTCCTCCTCCTCCTCGTCATCATGATCATCCTCATCATCATCATCATCATCATCATCATCATCATCATCATCATCATCATCATCATCATCATCATCATCATCATCATCATCATCATCATCATCATCATCATCATCATCATCATCATCATCATCATCATCATCATCATCATCACCATCGTCATCAGCATCATCATCGCCATCGTCATCGTCATCAGCATCATCAGCATCATCAGCACCATAATCGTCAACATCGTACACATCATCATCAGCAGCAGCAGCAGCATCATCATCATCATCCTCAGCATCAGCATCAGCAGCATCATCATTAGCAGCATCATCAGCATCATCATCATCAGCAGCAGCAGCAACATCCTCCTCCTCCTCGTCCTCCTCATCATCATCAGCATCATCAGCATCAGCATCAGCACCAGCATCATCATCAGCATCATCATCACCATCATCTTCCTCCTCCAACTCCTCCTCCTCCTCATCATCATCATCCTCATCATCATCATCATCACATCATCATCCGCCTCCTCCTCCTCCTGCCTCTCCCTCACTCTCTCTCTCTCTCACTCTCTTTCTCCGTGTTCCTCTCCCTCTCATCCACCGTCTTCCTCTCCCTATACTCTCCACTCCTCCCTCTTTCTCTCCCTCCCTCCTCCTCCTCCTCCTCCTCCTCCTCCTCCTCCTCCTCCTCCTCCTCCTCCTCCCGCCCCTTCGCCTCCTCCTCCTCCTCCTCCTCCTCCTCTCCCTCCTCCTCCTCCCCTCCTCCTCCTCCTCTCTCCTCCTCCTCCTCCTCCTCCTCCTCCTCCTCCTCCGCCCTCGCCTCCTCCCTCGCCTCCTCCTCCTCGTCCTCCTCGCCTCCTCGCCTTCTCCCTCGCCCTCTCCTCGCCCCCTCCTCCTCGTCCTGCTCCTGCTCCTCTCTCCTCGCCTCCTCTCTCCCTCGCCTCTCCTCGCCTCCTCCTCCCGTCCTGCTCCTGCTCCTCTGCCTCCTCTCCTCCTCCTCCTCTCTCCCTTCCTTCTCCTCCTCCTCCTCCGGCCTCCTCCATCTGCTCTCCTCCTCCCCTCCTCCTCCTCCTCCTCCTCCTCCTTCATCCTCCTTGTCCGCCTCCTTCTCCTCCTCCTCCTCCTCCTCCTCCTCCTCCTCCTCCTCCTCCTCCTCCGCTCATCCCCCTCCTCCTTCTCCTCCTCCTCTCCTTCTCCTCCTTCTCCCTCTCCTCTTCTCCGCTCCCTCCTCCTCCTCCTCCTCCTCTCCTCCTCCTCCTCCTCCTCCTCCTCCTCCTCCCTCCTCCTCCCTCTCCTCCGTCTCTTCCCTCTCCTCCCCCTCCGCCTCCTCCTCCTCCTCCTCCTCCTCGTCTTCCTTCTCCTCCTCCTCCCTCCTCCTACTATCATCAATTCAGGGCCTCGCTGAGAATGTTATGCTGCGGTGCCAGCGGGAAGAACAAAAAGAAGGATGCGGATTAGGTTGGCCGCTGGAAGCAGGCGGGGGAGAGCAGCGAGCACAAGTCCACGCCCGCTTGGATCGCGGCGATCTGTCGGCCCAAGGCTCGTTGTCGACCCAAGGCCTCGTTCTCGACCCAGGGTTCGTTTTCGACCCAAACGTCGGTTTCGACCCCGGGCTCGCTTTGGACTGGGCTGCCCCGATCCACCTCGCGTGCCGTTTTATTCCCCGCGAGCGTGCCTGCACGCGCCAAGACTTTCCTGCGCAGACAACCGGCATTTTGCGCGAAGAGCGCGTCGTCCGTGCGCGAAGCCGCGTGCACACCTGGCACGGCTGCCTGTGTTGAGACGTCCACGGCTGCGCACGAGTCCGGCAGCATGCCAGGCTTTACTGGAGCACAGACGAAAACCGAGGGCAGAACCTCGCCTCCTCCTCCTCCTACTCCTCCTCCTCCTCCTCCTTCTCCGCCTCCTCCTCCTCCTCCTCCTCCTCCTCCTCTTCCCCCTCCTCTCTCCTCCCTCCCCCCCTCCCCCTCCTGCTCCTCCTCCGCCTCCTCCTCCTCCTCCTCCATTTCCTCATCCCTCCCCCCGTCCTCCTTCTCCTCCTCCTCCTCATCCTCCTCTTCTCCCTCCTCCTCCTCCTCTTTCCTCTCCTCCCCTCCTCCTCCCTCCCCTCCTCCTCTCCTCCTCCTCCTCCTCCTCCTCTCTCCTCCTCCTCCTCCTCCTCCCCTCCCTCCCCTCTCCTCCTCCCTCCTTCTCCTCCTCCTCCTCCTCCTCCCCCTCCCTCTTCTTCCTCCTCCTCCTCCTCCTTTTTCTCCTCCTCCTCCTCCTCCTCCTCCTCCTCCTCCTCCTCCATTCGTGTTCCTTCTATATAACTTCTCCCTGTCTCACCCCGAAGCCATTTGTTTGGGCGGGTTGGGCGTTTCGCTTGAGACTTCCTCGCCATTTATGACCCTGAAGCTAAAAAATGGCAGCAATTTCACAGATGGAGGGCGGGTCGCTTTCAAAATGTGGATCTCGCCTTAGCGCCGCGCACATTCGTTTTAAGCATCTGCCAGAGTTTGACGACTTGAGGGCGGGTCGTTTTCAAAATGTGGCTCTCGATTTAGCGCCGCGCATATTCGTTCTGAAGATTTGCAAGAGCTTCACGGATTGTTGGCGGGCAATTTTCAAAATGCTGCTCTCGCTTTAGCGCCGCGCACATTCTTTTTAACACATTGCAAGGAGTTTCACGGATTGACGGCGGGTCGTTTTCAAAATGTGGCTCTCGCCTTAGTGCCGCGCACATTCGTCATTCGTTTTAATATGTTGCAGCAAAAGTTTCACGGATTGATGGTGGGCGGTTTTCAACATGTGGCTCTCGATTTAACGCCGCGCAAATTGGTTGTAAACATTTGCAAAATTTTGACGAATTGAAAGCGGACCGCTTTCAAACTGCGGCTCTCGCTTAACGCCGCGCACATTCGTTTTCAACAAATTGCAAGAACTTCACTGGTTGAGGGCTGTTCGTATTCAAGATGCGCCTCTCGCATAACGCCGCGCACAATCGTTGTAACAAAGTCCCAGAGTTTCACGGATTGAGAGCGGGCCATTTTCGAAATGTGGCTCTCGCGATTCACGGATTGCGGGCGGGTCGTTTTCAAAATTTGGCTCTCGCCTCAGCGCCGTGCACATTCGTTTTAAACATTTGCAAAACATTTCACGGATTCCAACAATCAACGCACCAGAAACAATGTGTTGGAAGGATTTCTGGATGATGCGGGAGCAACAGGTATATTGATTCGCGGTGTTGAACTCCCATACATGGCGTTCTGGCGCGACTCCAGATCGCCAGGACGCAGCAGTCAGGTTGATACATTGCGTGGAATTCCCGAGAACAGTGTTGTGGCATGCTTCAAGGTATTCAAGCTGTTGTCTTCCAACCAAGGCAGTTCCCTGAATGGGGTGAGCCGTTGTAGGGGCCTGTGAAGAGGGAGCTTGGAGGGATGGATACTTCCAAAATCAACGATGACTCTTGGGTTTGCACTGGTCCTCCTCCCCCTCCTCCGCCTCCTCCTCCTCCTCCTCCTCCTCCTCCTCCTCCTCCTCCTCATCCCAGGGCGCGCGGCCAGAGGCTTGGGCGGCCATGGGAAGGACGACTCGTGATGCGCAGGAGGCCTGGGCACACCGTCTACACGCGGCGCCTACAGCAGAGCCCTGTCCACAAGAACCCTTCGACAAGAAACCCAACCCTGAGAC